TCAGCATCATCGCACTCAGCACGCGCCACCCAAGAATGATAAAAAAATGAGGTTCCTCGCTTCATTTCCAGCGCACAATGGCCTCCAAAATCTCCGGACTATTGTGTCTGGAGTATTTTGGAAAGCAAAAAAAATACAAAAGTTTCGATCACCTCAAGCAAGCGCTTCGCCGGGAATGGGCCAAAATACAGCAGAGCAACTTTCGGGCAGCGTTTGACGGTTTCATTGGCCGTTTGAAGGCTATAATTCGTGCCAAAGGTGACCAATTCGAAAGGTGGGCAAATCTAAAGTTATTCTTTAATTTGATGCTATTTCCGACTTTTTTGCTTTCATTCAATAAAATTTAGAAAAAAATTGAAAAATTATGGCTTTTGACTTTGTGGCAGTTTTTTATCTCACCCTGTATATATGAAGAGCTTCTTTAGATATAAGACCTTATTTATACCTTCTATAGATAGAAGACCTTATTCAGGCCTTCAATAGAAGCCCTTATACAGGACTTCTAGAGATATAAGAACTTATACAGGTTGTCTAAATATATATAACTTTCTGCTATAAGTTTTATACAGGTTTTATATAAATAGAAGACCTTATGCAGGTCTCCTATAGATAGAAGACGTCATACAGGTCTTCTATATATAGAAGACCTTAATACAGGTCTTCTAAATATATAAAACCAGATACAGGCGTTCTATAATAAGAAACCCTTATAAAGGTCTTCTATAATAAGAAGCCCTTATAAAGGTCTTCTATATATAGAAGATATCATACAGGTCTTCTAAAGATTAGAAGACCTTATACAGTTCAGGAAAGAAGATGTTAAACAGACCTTCTTTAATAAGAGGACTTTATACAGGTCTTCTCTGGATAGAAGATCTTACAAAGGTCTTCATCAGTTAGAAACCCATTTATAGATGTAAGATCTCATATAAGAGGAATATTTTCAACAGGCCTGTACAAAATCATCAAATCTGCCATAAACTTCCTGGCCCATCCTTCGTTTATCCCCTCTAAAAACATTCGGGTGTAAAAATGCCACAGCAAGTGTTCACATTTACCAGCAACTCTTCCCTGCGTGTGAGTGTACGTTAAACACAAAAACAACCACATTGACTTGCAGTTGACGGGGAAAAACGAAAACAACGGCAACGACTTAAATCGAAATCAGGCTTTAGCACTTGATAATTTCCATGATACATTAGAGTGGTAAATGAATTCAAAACGCGTGCTTAACGTGTTCGGTTGTTACATCGGCGTTTGTTTTAGTTTGGCAATTTTGTTTTTGTGCCCAGCTTCGTTTTTGTTTTTGTTCATTTAATGCGTTCAGCACCACCAACAAAAAAAAAGTAGCTAAAAACATTGTGAACGGTTAAACCATGTCTAACGCTTGTTGCGTTGAGTGGCAACGAGTGGCCTATAGACCTGCAACACCTGTTTGGGGTCGTATGCGTCTAGCACCACCACTACCACCATCACAACGCCAGTATCGAACGATCCAAATGGAAATGGAAACAAATGTAATTTAAGGTGATTTTTTTCGTTGTTATTGTTGTTGTTGCTGTTGCCGCTGGTGTTTGTTTTAGTATTTCAGAGTGTGTCGCTGCTGCTGCTGCGGTTGTCGTTAAGCTCTTCAAAGCGGATTGGCTAAAGCTGAAAAATCAACTTTTAAATTTGCAATGTGTTTTAGTTTTAGTCTTACGCACTCAGCATTGGCGGCACTTGTCATTATTGTTGTTGGCGTTGCTGTTTTTGCTTTTGTTGTTGTACTGGACAAATGCAATGCAATTTTTACAACATGGTGAATGTCGTTATTTTTTGAATTTTGTTTTTTTTTTTTTTTTTTTTTCAATTTCGTGTCTATAGATTTACGGGTTTTATTTGTTGTTCGCTGGTCTGTTGGTTTTTCGTCATGTCATTCATTGTAAGTATTCACATATTTAGTGTTTCGACTCCATTTTGGTTTTGTGTGTAGAGAGTGCTGCTGCAACACCCCTGCCGCCGCCAACTATCATCATCGCCATGCTCCCCCAAAACAAAGCGCACCTAATAAATTGGATGTCATTTTTCGCACAGATGGCGTCGATTTGACCAAGTTTCGGCCATCACAAATACGGCAAACTGCAAACTGATTGGCATTTGACTAGCTATTGGATTTCATTTTTAGCCCCTTTCAAATAAATTTTGAAAAATAAATAAATACCTAATGAAATTTTTGTGGTATTTATGTTAATGTGGGAATTGGTTCCATTTTGTTGAAATGGGGCTTGGCTATTGCGGAGCTATTGCAGACATATCATAAATCATAATTTTTAATGAAGAAAATGCACGATTCGAATATGCGGGGCATTATCGAAGCAGTTTGATATTTAGTGGGAGAGAGAGGTACCCGAAGGAATGTATCGATATTGCCACCACCGAACTCGATCTAAGTTTGAAAATAATATTCAAAGCACCACGTTGGGCAGAAGCGGATACTCATCTCGAGTGTTATCGTGCACACCAATCAGTCCAAATCATCCATTTAAAAAGGAAGTTAGTTCCCTCTTAATTCGGCTTGATTCCAAGTATCCAATGCCTTCGAATGATCAAAGTTTAATAACTGGATAATTCGATTATGCGGAGGCATCATCGCAAAGGAGGGTACCGATATCTCCGTACTTAATCTCCTTTCGAGAGTCATCGTGCGTAACAACCAGTCCAAATCATCTATTTTTAAGGGAGGTTAGTTCCTTCTACATCGGAGTTTAGTTCCATCCTAATTCGGCTTGATTAAAAGTAGCCAATGCCTTCGGATGATCAAAGTCTATTAATTGTTCGATTGCACTGTCTATTCTGGTTTAATCGTCGATTTCGGTGGGACATCTGGAGAACTTTTCTTGTTCCAAAAATCTTGTTATGACCAAAAATGCCTTGTATATATGTTAATGTCAATAATTATATTCGTGCAGTACATTTTACATTATGCCGATAGATAGGTGCTCACAAATTGCAGTTTTCGTAACGAAGACAATCATTTTAGATTTTATCGGAATTCAAAAGGATAGAGAGGGTTTATATCACTTGATACGGCCAAAACGTGCCTCATCGAGATAACGGTTTTAGATCCTAGGACTCTTCGGACCAAATCCGTTTCAGGACATTTTTAGTACATATGACGGTGTCCTTCCGTCTGTTTGGGTGATGCGCACGATAACTCTCGGAGGGAGTAACCGATTTGGTGCAAAAAAAAAAATACTGCACAGAAAGAGAAAGGATAATCCGATCTTTGCAAATCCTAATATCTGCTCCGTGCTAGGTCACGTGCGAAAATGGACAATGTCGGTCTACTCCATCAAGTACCTCACTCCCAAAATGGCAAAATTGTAAGATTTCGATTGCCTTCAAATTACATTCATCACTACATTTTTTATTAACCCAAGGTCTGGTGTGAAGATGAAATATATCGTTTCACTCCTTCTGGTAGGTACCTCCCCGACATTAACATCCGATTCCATTCAGACTTGACACACCTCATTACTTCTATCAACACAAAATCTGTTAAAAAGATGGCAGATATCGTAACAGTTCTTCTGGTACCTCCCTCGCATAGGGTTCAAGATTTTGAAAAACAAAACGCTCAATGGAAACGAAATAAGCATCCAACTCTTCTTCAAATTTCACACACACACAAACATAATTGCTAACACAAGATCTGTCTGTTACCTAACCCACAAAGGTTTTCAATTTTCAATACTTTTGTCTGTCATAACTTGCGTAACCTGGCACGTCGCAATATTTATATCGTATTTATTTGGGTCCGTCACGAAATGGACTATATTGGTCTATTCCTTCAGAACCTACTTCATAGAGGGTCAACAACTTCAATAATTGTAACAGAAGACAAAAAAATAAATAATCGAGCATTGGCTGAGTGTATACATCCGTCGGCAATTACGACTGATACTTTTTAACGTATCATATAATAAACACAAAAAGTCTCGAAATGCCCCATAACAGTGTCCTAGCCGATTCAATCGGAAGTATTTGGACATGGTTATGTTCTTAGATAGGTGCCAAAACTCTCACTTTCCATGGGTCCGCAATCCGTTTGCTAATACAACTCTACATTCGAGCTGAAACTCTATCCGTGATTTGGATAAAGCAGCCATCACGTTGCTTCACAAACCCCAAAAAACTAAACTAAAATGCTGATTCGGGCTCTAGATAGCCGGGAGAACATAAAATCAGGATTCACAGAGCAAACTTTTTCAATGACTTAGGATAAAGTCCGCAAAGGCAACAAGGTATCACAAAGAGATATTGTTGGTCGATATCGACCCATACGGCTATTAACAACACCAATGGTCTTCCAACACCAATGATCTTCGAAGGTGGATGTAACCAAATGACGACTATAGATTATCTGCATCTTGTGCAAGCATACAAATAGTGCAGCAAACTAATCAGTCTAGGCTCACAGTTTCAACTTCATTCCTTTCCAAATGTGAAATAGTTAGTCAGAATTCATCTAACATTATATTGTACAGCGTCTACCTGAATGCCGGTAATCCACCAGACATTGACCGATAGCTACTACCTTCGCCACTGAAGCGTATTCATATCCGAACATTTCGCAGCTTTGAACAATATATAAGGGATATAAAAAGTTTAACTATCACTTACGAGGATCGAATTCATCTTCACAGAAATGCCTCCAAAAACCATAAATCGAAGTGCGCCACCGAATTAATTCCAAGCATGCTTTCCGCTTTCCATAATATTTTGTGATGAAATTTAGCTATTTACTCATTTCTTTTCAAGAAATACTAATTTTTAATTGTTTGCTTTTTTTTCTGCGACTTATTAATTTAAAAACAAACGAAAATGTAATGCAAAACGTTAAAAAGCTTCACCTACAGTTTGAAAAGCATTGCGTCATTCGCTGGCTGTTAAACATCTGTTGAAAAGTCAAAAGCAGAACAACAACGATAACAGCTGTTTTTATGAAAACAATGCGGCGACAGAGTACGTAACGTTATTGAACAATTGCGCCCGAAGACCAAAAAAACATAAATAAATAAAAAATTCACAAAAAACCGAATTAAAAATCTTGTGAAATGTTACCACCATCGCGCCAACAGGTTTTGCGTTTGTATAAACATTTAATACGTTACGGCAATCAATTGCAATTAACCGACAAGTCATATTTTTTGGGCCGGGTGCGACGTGAGTTCCGTGAGAATTCCAAAGAAACGGAATCACATAAAATTGAATTCAACTTTAAGGTATGTAAAGTCTTGCCGATTGGAGTATGCAAACAATCATTTATGCCTTTTTTATTTCCAAATTTTATCAGAGAGGAGAAACACTTCTGCGTAAGGGACGCATACTCTAAAAAACTACAAACAATGTTGCAAAATTGTTACAGAACCTTGGGGTTGGTGGGAAAACTTATTGTTGCCGAACAAAACACTATTGCACATAGCTTAAGAAATTCCATTGCCTTTACAACACCAATGACCCCAAATTTTCTCGTTCCCATTCGCCTCAAACACCATCAACAACTGGACTATTCGCGTTACCCCAAACTAATTGAAGAGGAATTAGAAGAGACCTTTACTCGTGGCAGTGGACCTGGTGGCCAGGCCGTTAACAAGACATCCAATTGTGTGCTACTACGTCACATACCCACAAACATTGTTGTCAAATGTCACATACACCGATCAGCCCACAAGAACCGACAAGAAGCTCGCAAAATTTTACTCGACAAATTAGATTCCCATTTTAATGGGGAATTTTCCATACAGGCACAATTAAAGGCCATAGAGGGTAAAAAATCAGCCGAGCGAAAAAGAAGACAAAACAAATTGCAGGAAATGAAACAAAAGTGGAAAGAACGTGAACAACAGGAGACGGCGAATGATAATAAAAACAATTGAAAATCCCTAGGTATTGAAAGAAATAAAAACTACAAATTTTCTACAAAAAAATTAAAATTTTTATTACAATTACCTTTACCAAGATGAGAAGTCTCCGAATCCTGCTTTGCCTGTGGCTTTTTTCCTCACCACACCACCGCCAAAGAGACTGGGTGTTGTTTCTTCTTTTTGTGTTTGTTTGGTTGCCTGAATATTGAGGTATTTGCCCACTCCCTGACGATAGACCTTTAAAGGTTCTTTCATGCGTTTCTTTGTCTGTTCTTCTTGCTTTTCTTGTTGTTGTTTTTCAACTTCTTGGGCTCTTTCTTCGGCCAGCTGTTCTTCAGCCTCTTTGAAGGGATCAACATAAACTTGTATGGATTCAATTATTATATCCTCAATTGGACGATCTTTGTTGTCCACCTCGATTTGTTCCATTTTTTGTAGGGTCTCCAAGCCCCCAACCACTTTGCCAAAGACCGTGTGTTTGCCATCTAAATGCTTGCAGGAGCGATAGGTTATGAAGCTGCAAAGAGGTGTAATGAACATTTAAATATTAGATGGGTTATCAAAAACTTACAACTGTGATCCATTGGTATTGGGTCCTGAGTTGGCCATTGAAAGCATGCCCCTACCCGAATGCGTTAAATTGGGCTTAAATTCATCATCAAACTTTTTGCCCCAAATCGATGTGCCCCCTGTACCCTTGCCCGTTGGATCACCACCTTGTACCATAAAATTTCTTATGGAACGATGAAACAAAGTTCCCGTATAATAACCATCCGAACAATGCCGCATGAAATTGTGACATGTTTTTGGCACTTGATCACAATACAATTCCAAATTCAAGGGTCCCAGATTGGTACTCAAACGGACATAACCCTTCTTCTTGACACGATCGTACAAAACCAAATCTTCGTCGATTATGGCAGCCTCATGGTTTACTTCCACTGCCATGGCTGTTGAGGTAAAACTGGCCGCCACCGCTCCCGTTGAATAGTGAGCAGCATTAAATTTATCTGCAGTCTGTTTGGAGGTTGTGGCTTGGACCTCTTTCTCTTTGTAATCCCTTTCCAATTGTTCCAACGTTTCGCGAGTTTCCAAATTCATGGTCTTAATTTTCTTTGTGGGATCATTGCGCTCCAACTCTTCCTCTTCGGTTAGAACACGCAAATTCTTTTTGATATAATAAAATCGAGATATATCAAATTTCTCTAAATGCTGTGGATCTTGTATGGTGATAATGTCTTTACGTTGGAATGGTGTATCATCGATTAAATCTTTCCAATTCTTTGCTTTTATGTTTAACTGTTCTATGGCCTCCCATGAGTAGACATTGCCCGTAGTTTTCAATGCCACAATGTGTGAATTTTTGGTAAATGGCTTAAACAAGGCGGGGCAATGATATTCATCTTCAGCATTTTTGTGGAAGTTCAATTTTACCAATGCCTTGGCATCCAATGACTTTCCTGTGACTGGATTCAGTTTGAATTTTTTAATGAAATCATGTATGGCCTGCAGCTCAAACACATTGCCCTCTTCGTCGCAGTAGGGAATTTCAAAAGGCACCAGGGTAATGCAACAACAATCGTAGGGTAAACGTTTAAATTTGACATGTTCATTTTCGGCCGATTCGAATTTCTTCCCACCATACAATTCCGACCATTCGGTGTACGTGAGGTACCTTTGGATTAAAAAAAGATATGATTTTTTTATTACATTTTGCAAAATATATAAGAAATTTGGCCAAAAATTAAAGGAGGATTCCTAACAGGGTTAACAAAAAAGGGCATAAGTAGCCTTTAGATTCTAAGCCGATTAAGCCGTAGGTCGTAACTCCAAGATTCAAATACATAGAGGTCTTTTACATTAGAATCTTGGGACATCCGACACACTTTAAAGACTGTGTGTACCGTTATACATGATTAGATTCTTTAAAAATGTTCCTCCCAATGCATTTACATCGCCCATAAAACTGTTTGGAAGTTTGCAAATGCTCTGCAGAAAATTCTCCATCAAATGTAATACATTCTGTTGTTCTTCAAGTAGATACTTACATTTTATCTTTCTGATGCTGTCTTTTACCCATTTTGCTTAAAAAGTCGGCGTTTTATCGGATTTATTTCAATAAATTGTAGAAACTCTAAGTATTTCCCACAAACGCTGTGTTTTGTTTACATCTGTTCTTCTTCTTCTTATTTTCAAGGCAATCATACACAAATGATAGTGCTCATACTGATGACTTTAAAACTGTAACAACAATTGTAACTGAAATGAAAAGGATGCGTTTAAAGGTTAGTTTATATTTCTAAAGGGATTGTTATTAAAAAAGGATTATTATTAATTAAAAGGATTATTGTTGAATAAAAATAACAATATTTTTACCTTTTTTTATTAAATACTCGCTAAAAAGCATTGGATTTAAAACTATCGCAATGTTTGTAAGGGACAGAGTAAGGATATTATTTTTAAAAGTATTGGATCTATTTAATACGCAGCTGGACAAGAACTTCCCAAGCTCTTATTTATAACATAATAAAGATTATACTACGAGCATACTTGTAAAATAAAAGGAAAATATACAGAAATCTAAAAATTTATAGAAATCATAGTCAGTAACAAAAAATGATTGACCCCATTACCTAAAGATCTAATTAAAGGGTCAAAATGTTGGGCTAGACTATTATTGCAATATCAAATATAATATTTTGGATTTTGACCCTATAGCAAAATAGTATGTATACTGTCATTATTCAAGCATTTTTAGGATTTAGTAGGCTCTACGAGATCTCTTATTATAGTCGATAAACAGATCCGTCAATAAAATCTGTTTAATTTTTTTCCTCTTCAATACTTACAATACTTCAGTAGTTAATATTTAAAATATGTTTATGGAAAAAATTTTGGAATATTAAAAGGTTTTCCAAAATTATATTATTATAATATACATATGTCTGAGATAAAAATAGGTTCACATATAATCAATTCTCAGATTAACCAAATTCAAACATAAGACTGTGCTTCCACTTACTCCAACGGCATTATACATATCTACCAAATTTTAATAACTTCATCAACTACCTGGAAAAATAAATAAATTAGCTAAAATTTCAAATTTCCTTAAGAGATCATCAACATAATTTCCAAGCCATCGTTCATACCACACAAAGATGCAATTCCTCGCAAGAAAATTGAGCGATCGTCTTGTTAGCTTGTTACCACAACGAAATCTTTTTTATGCAGTTTTTGCTGCTACTGCCGTTCCATTGATGGCAGTGACCAGTGGCCACTGTTGTGTTATATGGACATAATATTTTTTCGGACTTTCAAATTGGACAAACAAAACATTTGTTAAAACTATTTCGTGATTCGAATCCATTAACCATTTGTTTCTTTGCCATGTGAATACACCCAGAACATGAAACTCCCCCGAACGAGGGAGATAGAGCGAACAACACAACACCATCGGAACAAGACATGGCAATTTGTTGCTGATGCTGGGTCAGTCAGTCAGTCAGTTGGGGTGGTGGTAGATATGCCCACAGCCCGCTTTTACATGGTTTTTTAAGAAAAATCTCCAAAAAACACCGTGACGATGTAATAACAATAACATAACGTTAAGAAGTTTCGCAGAAAATTGATACCAACATCCAGCAGCTGCTGCCTGCCACAGCAGTAACAACAAAATTGCTGCAGCAGCAACAACAGCAATTGTTGTTTGTCAAATGTAAACGTTCCTGACAGTAGCAGGAATTTTTGTCTTACTCACATCGTTCAATGGTTATTGTTGCCTTTATGGAACCCAGTTTGTGCGTGCGTGTTAGTCTGTGTCGAAAGCGGAGATGTGAGCGCATACATTTTTGTTGTCTTAATGGACCAGGCAATTTGTCAGTTGTTAAAGGCAGTCACTCACAATCAAGCCAAAGCGGTGGGTATTCAGTCACTCACCACCATATATTTTACATGCAGGCCGGTACGCTGCTACCATGGATTTTTGATCTAAGACAGAATGGCGGTTCAACATCCAGGTGATCTTTTTTATATATGTATATATGTGGCCATTGAATAATAGGACGAACGAGCGAGGTTTTGTTGGTTTTTGGTCTTTGACAAGCAAAAATCCATTTCATCTGAGACGTATGGTCATGCATTGCAATATTACTGTGTGTTCTCTATATGATGAGAGCAATTGTTGTTGGTTGTTTTTTATTGGCCATAGGCACGTTGGGTGAACAGTGTCTGGAAATGCAAGGTCGTGGTGGTAAAATATTCAAAATTTTAGAAAAATACTCCTTTTGCTACCAAAGGGTGAAGAATCACATTCTTGGCCTTCTAAAACCCATTAGAATTTGAACGAGCTGACGAAGAATATAGAACCCTGCTAGCCACCTTATCGTGCAAAAGGGACAAGAAGGTGCTGTATTTCAAAGGAGAACTGCAGATAGAAAGATATTTACATTTCAGGATCTTAGACGAAATGGCTAAAGCAAGAATCATGAAATTATGCACGAGGGTCAGTCTTGATGCGTAGGTGTGCGATAAGGTTGGGTTTTTGAAAATTCGTACTAAAAGGGTACGAAAACTACAAACATAAATTAAAAATTGAATACTTTGTATAGGACAAGCAGAATTAGCTAGAATTCTGAAAGTCGCTGAGTGAGATATCCTGGAAATTTAAGTTTACAGAACTTTAAGGTTAGAGAAAGTTCTACAATGGTACTAAAAATCTAAAATTGTATCATTTGGTATTATGTGAACGTATAGAGCTTAAAACTTTAAATTTGGTATGCGGATCAGGGTTGGAAAGTAAGTTTAATATATGAAGGTGGTTTTGGACATGTGTACTAAGTGTGCCAACGTACTAAATGGTACTAAATTTGTAACAATTTGGTTTAGGGTGAACGGATGTAGCTGAAATTCTGAAATTTTGTATTCGGGTTCCTGTTGTTGGTAGGTTTGTGGTAAAGAGGTGATTTTGGAAATGTGTACAACATGTGCACGAAAAGTACTAAATAGTACTATATTTGGTACAATTTGGTATTGAGGGAACAGATAGTGCTTTAAATTTGAAATTTTGTATTTGTGTCACTGTTCATGTGTAGCCTGGTCATATGGAGGTGGTTTCGGAAAAGTGTACTACAATTGTACCAAAAGTACCATAATGGGTATCCGGTGAACGAATAGGATTGGAATCCTCAAATTTGATGATGAGCTCTATGTGGGTATTTGGAATTTAGATATGGAGGTTGTTTTTGAAGTGTGCACTATAATTGTATCAAATGTACTTTGTGGTACAATATTTGGTATTGGATGAAGGGATAGAGATAAAATTCTGAAATTTGAAAAGCATTTAAAGTTACTACATTTGTTATTGGGGAAAGGCTAAGGCTGGAATCCTGAAGTTTAATATTGTGATCTTTGTTGGTAACTGGAATAGAGATTTGGTGGTGTTTTGGTAATGGGTCCTATATTTCTACGAAAAGTACTAAAATGTACTAAATGAGTTATTGGCGGAAGGGATAGAGATAAAATCTTGAAATTAGATATTTATATTACTGATAGTATATGTGTTTGAGATTTGGTGGTAGTTGGGAAATGCGTCCTATATTTGTTCGAAAAGTACTAAAATGTTCTAAATTTAGTATTGGCTGAAGGGTAGGGCTGGAATCCTTAAACTTGATATTGAGGTCTCTGTTGGTATCTGGAATTGAGATTTGGTGGTGTTTGGAAATGAGCCCTATATTTGTACAAAAAGTACTACATTTGGTATTGGGTGAAGGGATAAGACTGGATTTCTTAAATTTGATATTGAGGTTTCTGTTGGTATCTGGAATTGAGGAGTGGAAGTGGTTTTGGAACTGTGTACTATAACTTTACGAAAAATACTACATAGTAATAAATTTGGTATTGGGTGAAGGAATAGAGCTAAAATCCTGAAATTCAACATGGACGTCACTGTTGGTGTCTGTGGTTAAGATATGAAGGTGGTTGTGGAAATGAGTACCATTAATGTACGAAAAGTACTGAATGGTACCAAATTTGGTATTGGGTGAAGGAATAGAGCTAAAATCCTGAAATTCGACATGGACGTCAGTGTTGGTGTCTGAGGTTGAGAGAAGGAGGTGGTTTTGGATATGCGTGAACCTCCAGATAGATATAAATGTCCGACGGAATCGTTTACAATTTCTGATTTTAAGTTTTTAATGGCTGCCAGGAAAAAATGGTACACATGTAGTTTATCCCCAACACAACGTTTCCTCCAAACATTCGGCATTTTGATGGATGCAGCTACATTTTCCAATAGAATTTCTTGAAATTTGATATTTGGCCTTCCTAATGACTACTTCTTCTTCCTCTCGCAGAAAAAATGTATATATGGGTCCATTTTTTCCTTAGCACCCATATAACCGTCCCTTATGATATTCGATGTTTTGATGATTTTAGTCCCTTATAGTCTTCCCATTTTATAATTTTAAGGCAATGCTATTTTCAATAAAATCCATTTTCATAACACTGTGCTTCACCATGCAACCCTCTCTTTCTCTCTCTAATTCTGCACCCGTTGGGTTTCTCTTATACCTTGAGTTCTGATTTATTTTCTTTGTTATGTTTTTTTTTTCGGCTTTCTTCCAATGGTTTTTACAAACAGAAGCCTAATAGCCTGAACCACCACAACCTACTTCCCTACTCCCCCTCCCCTATGCCAATCATAGAAATGCATAACTCCTGAAGTCATGGATATTGGACACGGCAGTTACTGCGGAACGAACAGCGTGTGCATACCGTGATGGATAGGTTAATTGTTGGCATGTGGAGCACGATTTTCATAATGTGAGGTCCCGGGTATCAGCGAATGGTAAAAATTCTTGTCAAGCTGACTTGTCATGCGTATGCTCAGCTCGGTGTGTCCCTCAAGGAGCGTGCGTGCGTGCACATGTGTGCTGGGGGCAATTATTTATTAAATGTCCAAAGATAATAGAAAGGCAGCAGGTTTATTCCAAAAAAAATATTTTCCCAATTCCTTATCCAGATACCAAAATGATTTAGTGACCAAATGATTTCCCATTGAGTTCCTTGCAAAACTATTGCGTCCTGTCCCATGTGGACAACAGATAAAGAAGAACATGCAGCATCAATGATGATGATGATGATATCCTGATATGGCATAAAATATCTTCCATGAATTTGAGAAGGGAGGAGATGGATT